TTTTTAAAATCCAAAAAGAGATCATTATATGGGAAGCGGTCGGAGTTGAGGAAAACCCGAATATTGGTCAACTTGCAATGATCAAATTGTGACATATTGGAGGTAGATACTTGTTTTTATTAGTTTGAAAGGCTAGGATAACATGTCTAGGCTCTCAAGCTTCGTTGTAGTTTTGACTGGCCAGGTGTGACGCGTTGTTTCAGGGAGTGATGGATACTCTACTAGTTCCCAACTGCGAAAATATAGTGGAATTTTCATGTTTTTGTTGAGAATTTTTGTAAGAGCTAGTTGCTGAGGAATGTCAACAGATACGTGGGGTACTCTCCACTGAATCTTATCAATCCGAATTTTTGGTTGTTCGGATGTAGTAGTTGCTACAACAGCATCAAGGTCATGACTACTACGGATTAATACTAACTCCTGTTTCATATTGAGGAGAATTTTTCGATAGTCTTCAAAGAATCCCATCCACATGCTTAAAGGAATACAAACATTGAACTTGCCAGACTCAGAAATAAAAGTGTCTTTTGGGAACCAGCCAGCATTTTGCAAGCGTGAACTCTCATTTCATTAAAAGACAGATACCCTTTAAGGGTGGAGGTAAGACCAACATTTCGAACGGAATCGACTACAACTCCGTTCAGTTCATAACGGAGCTCACGGAACAGAAAAGCAAAAGCGTTATTGATTAATTGCAGAGTTGTAACAGTAGTTCCATCAGCTTTTTTAGTAGTAACAGCAGTTCCATCGGCTTTGGTTAATTCTCCTTCGAGATACAAAAGACTTTGTGACGGGATGGTATAGGCATCTAGTTCTTGAACAGCAATGCGAATTTCATCGTTGTAGTCAAAGTTGGAATTGATAAAAGGTTGATAAGTGTGATACTCTAGTTCTGTAATAGAATTATCAACAAGAGGTTTTTGTGTAACGTTGAGAATACTCATCCTACAACACGTGAAAACCTAGGTTTTCCAAAAATTTTCTATTATCTTTAGTAAGTTGCAATGTTGATTGTTGTCGAAATGATCTTCTGCGTATGCGGGACGGCTTACCACTAATAGATGGTTTCGACTGACCTCGCTTTTTATAGGGAAAAGAGATCGGAGGCGCGTAATATCTAATGCCCATTGTTACCGGATCGTAAATGAAGTCGAAGTGTAATGGTCTCGTTACGAAAATTAATTATGTGACCGTCTTGATCAACAATGTTGACGGTAATGGTTGTGATTGCTTTAACACTCACTGGGAAATATAAAATATTTTGAGGTGATTCAACGATTTTATACCCGGGCGAAACCGAGGGAAAAAATTGATGGATAATGTGGCTTGGCACACCGTTGGAATATGAGCCTGTGGCTACATTGCAAGCAACACATATTGAATTCACTTTCAAAATTTGCACAGGAAAATCAGACGTATGTCTAATGATTGGGTCAAGACGTCGAGGTTGAAATCCGAGAAGGGATGCAATGGTACCATTCTGTGAAAAATCAATCGTAAAATTGGCTTTGAGAGAAACTGTTGTGGAATTCATAGAGGTGTAATGCTAATAATTTTCCCTTCTGGGAGATTTTGATCTAAATAATCAATAATATCTCGAATTTCATATGCGCCTGTAGGAAATGTAAGTAGTTCATTGTCACATGGAAACTTATTATTAGTTTCGTCTATATTGGGAATAACATTGAAGGATTCAAAGTTGCACAACCCGATTTCATAGTCCACATTATCATCAAGATATAGCGGGGGATTAAAATGTGATTGGAGAGTGGAAGAAGTTCCCGACAGCGTAAATGTGAGGGACGTCATTACTGTAGAACGTTTAAATTGCAACTTCTGTATTAGGAGTAACAGTAAGAAATATATAGAAATTGTAAGCATAGCTGTCCACAATTGTGAGCATTAAACTTTTGTATTGGAGTATAATTGTATACAATGCAAACATTTTTATCACTGCTACCAAAATATCTTATCAGCTGCAGTGGAGGGCGCAGATTCCCATATGAATCAAAGTATGAGACAAGATTGCCATTTTTCACGTATGCAACCCAATGAGTCCCGTCGCCAGACGAGTCATCCAAATTAACAATTCCACTTTCACAAGTCTGTATACCCTTTGGTAATTGATCTTTCATGAATACTCCTCGAAAAAAAGGAATGTTAAGTTGTTTTGCAAAGTAAAGTAGTTCAATATCGGAAAGCGCATGGGATGGTAGGTGCCTTAGCAGTTTTTTTTGTACGGTGCTAAAAAAACCCCTTTCCCGTGGGAGAAACCTTGCGAGAGGCTTCTAAAGCCAAGTTATGACGCTTCTGTTCCGCAAGTTGTGACTGATTGGCTTTAGCATCATTGACAGCTTTTGCAATGGAGGCAGCACCACCTCCAAGAGCTCCAAGAGCCCCGAGTATAGGTAGAAGTAAAGGTAGAAAGCCACCTGTTTTCGGTAGAGGCAGAATCCGCAAACGTCGCTTGGAACGTTGCGATTTTGGTGATTTTTTTCGCAAACCCTTTCCCATCTTGTTCAAACGTTTCTGTCTTTGTTGTGTACGATGTTTTCTCAGGCCAAAACCCATCTTTTTTTAGCTTTCATTGCTCCAGCAACTCCCAAAGCTGCCATTCGTTCTCCAAAAGAGCTGTCGGATGCGAAGGCTCGCTGTATAGCTTGATCAGCCAAAAGTTTGTCCGCTTGTTGACGCGCAGTGAGATCTTTCTGCTGAGAATAGAAAATGTGTTGTTTGCAAAATTCGTCAAGTGGATTTATACCAACATCTCCTCGTTGAAGACGCTTTTGCAGTTTGGTTGACGGGCCACAGAAATTGTAACCTGGGATGTGGGCTTCGAAAGGGAGATTTTCTATTACGTTGGAAATGAGGCCGTGACCTCGCACGATCGGTGTCTGCTGGAAAGTACGTGTCATGGTGGAGTACACAATCATTATATACTCTTATTACGAATAGAGCGGGAGGTACTATATATAGGAGTCCATTTGGATGGCTACTAGTAATCACACAACATCATGAGAATTGAGCAGACGATACCAAAGCTTCAGGTAGATAATTACGATGGAATAGTGCAAGAAAAAACGTTCCGAAAACATGGAAGTGTGTTCAATGGTGCTTCTAAACGGGCTCTAATTGTTGGTAATAGTGGTGCTGGAAAGACTAATATCATGATCACCCTATTAATAAACCCTCACGGATTACGATATGAAAATGTCTATTTGTTTTGTAAATCACCCTACCAAACAAAGTATCAATTCCTTCGCTCAGTTTTAGAACCTCTAAAAGAGATAGGATATTACGAGTACACGAACGGTGATGATATTAAGCCTCCAGCGGAAATCGAATCAAATGCGATTATGATTTTTGATGATGTTGCATCATGTAATCAGGATATAATGCGTCAGTACTTTAGTTTTGGGCGACACAAAAATACAGATTGCTTCTACCTGTGTCAAACATACACAGCAATTCCCAAGCACTTATTAAGAGATAATGCAAATCTTCTCATACTTTTAGCACAGGATGCATTAAATTTGAAGCATATTTACGATGATCACATTAGCTTGGATATGTCGTTTCAACAGTTTAAAGATATTTGCTCACTGTGCTGGCAGGAACCGTACGGTTTTGTTGTGGTTGATAAAGATTCACCCAAAAATAATGGGAGGTATCGGAAAGGTTTCGACAAGTATATATACCTATAGTGTGGTATATAAAGAGCGTGTAAGATTAGCAGTACCAGTGTTACGCCAGCCTCTCCATAATACGTGATATGGATCCAAAAATTGCAAAGGAATTGGTGAAAGCCAGACAAGCAGTCAAAGAAAAGTATTGAGCATTAAAGTCGGATATTGCCCAATCGGAAACCCAATTGCAAAAGCAGTGGAAACCTATATCGGAACCGCTGCAGCAGTTACTTGAAAAAGTAGAGCCAGTCAAAGTAAAACCAGAGAACTGGAAATTAGAATCTAAAACATCAACACCTCAGAAATCACCACTTTCACAGAAATTAACACCGACAAATATATACAATAGATACCTCCCCACTACTACAAGTTTCCTTGAAGACACATTCTCTAACCTTCCCGAGCACTCTATTTTACAAGACGTTTCCGGGATAGAAGAATCACGTCCTGATGCTACAGTACTAGAACGAGAACGTGATGTTGACGAGCAAATGATTGCTCACACACGGGAAGAGTTTCGGCGCCTAAGCAAAACACCTGGTTATCAAAGTTATTTAGAACAGTTCCATCCATTACCTCGTCAATATATCGATGAGTCTATACGGGGGGATGAAGAGAATTTTGATCGATATCACGGTATAACACACGATTGGATCGGCGAAAAATTAAAATTGGGGAATACCCCAATAACCCTCGAGGAGTCGGATCTAATCTTAGACAATATCAGATATCCAGGAACGCCAGGTCTGTACGAGTTGTTGTTCAAGAAAGACCCTCGTGGATATAAACAGACCGATCTGGAGCACTACATGGATATTCTAAAACGGACCAATGCATATCGACGTAATTTTGATTCTAATTTACAAATTCAAGGAGTAAACACTTTCAGGTATAAAACAATAATTCGACCATATTTAGTAAAACACAATCTAATAAAAGTATCCGCTGAGGGTGCAAGCAAAACGGGGTCTTTTCAGAAACCGGCACCTCCTAAAGCTCGACCCAGATCACAATCATTCAAACATGTAAGGGGTGGTATATTAGAGTATTCCCCGAAACCAATTGAGTATGTGTATTTTGATGATCCCAATGAGTTGGTCAATCGATTGCGCTTGCTCATCGCATCTGCGTATGCTGGTAATAACGGGCATAATAATGAAATCATGTCTATAATTGAGGAGTTGCGCGAATTAAAAATTATAAAATAAGTTGTAACGTAATATTACTCTATTTTCGTTGCTGCAGTTGTACGATCAAGATGCCAATTGATAAATTTGGAAGACATATGCTCCATTCAAAAAAGAGGGACATTTCTTCACTCTTCAGTGCTTTTCTGGCATCTAAACTATTCAGCGTATGTGTGGTACCAATTTATTCCAACACATTCAGCGCATTATTTTACACATTTGGTGAAAATAGTAGGGACTATATCGTTCCTGTGACCGGGATAGTTGATAGTATAAATATACCTCCCAAAATAAGAGTGAAATGTGGTCAAAGTGATGTCAAAGTCGACACACACCTGTCGAAAGGGGATATTCTGAACTTCTATTCATCTCATGAACCAAAACCTGACCTTATAGGTAATATCGTGATGCGCTGTCCAATCATACAAGAATGATGGACTTTAAAAAGCAGGTCATTGAGGAACTTCATAAACCGGCTCGCAGAAATTATAGACGTCGACGCGTTATTGTGAAGGGTATCAACGATCTCCTACCGGCAGATTTGGTGGAAATGCTTCCGTATCAGAAAGTTAACAAAGGATTCCGTTACATTTTAATTGTCATCAACGTTTTTAGTAAATTTGTGTGGGCAGAACCAGTCAAACGAAAAACTGGAAAAGATGTGACAGCTGCAATGAGTACAATTTTATCGCAAATGCAGACAATTTCCAAAAATTTACAAACAGACCTGGGTAAAGAATTCTACAATAGTGACTTTAAGAAGTTAATGGAAGCGTACAAAATTAATCATTACAGCTCCTACTCAGCGACCAAAGCAAGTGTAGTTGAAAGGGTGAATCGCACTTTGAAGAATCGTATGTGGAAGCAGTTCAGCTTTCAGGGATCGTATAAACGGTCTCTCAAAGGTGATACAGACGGAGTTGGCACTGATCGAATGGAAAATATCATCACTGAAGAAAAAATTGGTTATAACGCCTTCTTGATTTAATATCTCATACCAGTCTTCTTCATTTAACGTAACGTCATTGTTTTTCAAACCACTGATAGTGATTACAGGGTGGAAGCTCCACTCATATGCTCGACCAATGCTTATCCATTTTGATTTCGATGGATTTAGATGATATCGTTGCTCCTGGATGGCAATTAACGGTGTCTGATCTACCCCACTTTGTACAGATCGTACCCCCTTGTCGTTTTGCACACCGGCACTCATGTTGTAACGTTATGTGAAATTCAGAAGACTGGTATATGAAGCTTCGTGGCTAACTTTATACAGTGTTGATCACCCCTCCATTCACAAACTTCCCCCTCCCAAAAGTTGACGCAAGTGCAAGGGAAAATGATACTACCGTTCATGCTGACATAGATATATATGTATATATTAATGAATTTTGTGACACACAGAGTATTTACGTTTTGGATAAATCACACAAGATCTTTAAACATGCTACATAATCTTCGAATTTGGTGGATGGCCATTTCACACTACAGGGTCCAGAGGTCCATCCGAGGGTTTCATCTCCAATGTTACCCTTGGCTATATTTTTCTTTATCCATTTCAATACAGTATAATGTCTCATCTTATTTTCTACATCAAATACAAATTTAATATCATGCTGCTGTATAATATCGATTAAACGTTCTAGTGATACACAATCAGCTAGATATGCGATTTTACAGATGCTTTCATCGATATGTGATACAATGTCTTTATACCTCTTCGTAATATTTTCTACAGGATGCGGTTTATCTACATCTTCATAGTTACTATCAGATAACAACTTACATAAATAATATTGTTCATATGCTGATGGTGTGTAGGGCATATTATCCAGTAGGTCTCCAAATTCTTTGATGCTTAAAACCTCATAATCTCTCTCTTTTAAACTTTGCAGTGTTTCCTGTACCACCCAATCTAGATGTTTCTTTTTTGTTATTACACTGGAAAGCACGTGGGGATGGCAACTATGGGCATTGGTAATCCAATTGAATACTTCGTCAGGTATTGTAATTTCCTCTAGCACAAAGTCCAGCACTGGAAATTCTTGTTTTTCTGGATTTCGAGTCACAAATTGTCGAAGCTGTTTTTTCAACACCTCTTCAGTTACACGACACAATTGCATGTACAGTGAATAGTATGCCGTAGTACTCATCTTTGAAACTGAATGAGGTGCGTTTGTTAAGAATATATTTATATTCTTGTCCCCACCACAAACCCCTATTCTATGATCATGCTATCTGATGCTTATTATTCAACACAATGGCTTCTTGCATCAAGTGCAGTAATGTATCCAAGCGCTCCTCATGTGACATGTTATGAAATAATATATCTTTATGACCCCAAGCTAATGTCTTTGTTGAGTTTGGTATCAAGAAACGTTTATCATCCGTACTGGTCAATGCTACTTTTTTATATAATTTGTGTAGATATTGTGCGACTCCGATTTAAATACATAAATCGTACAGTATACAGATGTCCGTTTCTTCTCAACAATATCCTTATAATGTAGCAAATGTAACTGATTTTTTACACTCGCCTTAGATATACCTTTGGCTCGTTTAGCTACTTGGTCTACCGCATCTATACAGTATGCTTTGGGACCTGTACCATAAAATGCAGACAGTATCTTACCAGCATATTCGTCTTTCATCTTACCCAACTCTGACGCTGTTTGAGGCATATTATGTGGGTTGGAAGCATCATAATTGGATGTGTCAAAGTAATGTATGTGTGATTTCATGTCCTCATAGAAATTATCGGTTTCAACATGTACTATTAGCGAATCAGTGTCCGTGTAAGCTACAGACACCTTATCACCATATTGACGCTTCAGAAAGTCATAGAAAAAGTCATATATTACCGTTTTTGAGACATCTAAAATACAAAAGCCAACATATGTGGGACGACAATAATCAATCATTGTTTTTTCCATTTGAATGGCTACTAAGTTTTCAGAAAATATTCTGTGCTCTTTAAAAGTTGGTTTACTAATATAATTTGCAGCACCTATTTTATGTTTAGATTTTTCAAATTGAGTAGCTAATTTGATGTCGACTCTGTTCTCCATGTTTTCAATGGTTTTTCCAAAAATACAATTGATCATTAGTTTGAACAAATCTCTTTCAAAAGGATTCAGTGCTGCATTTCTAAGTGTGGTGTTTAACTGTATGTAGGACTTCAACCAGGCAGATTGTGTGAATTTAATGCCTCTATGAATTTTTGTTAAAATAATACCATGTTTCAAACATTGCGTTAGATTACGATAATGGATAATGTAGCGTTCTTTGTTGTGCAAATTTGGAATTAATTTTGAGCTTTGACTGTCGGGTGGTTTAAAATTTTCTGGACAAAACGGTAAATCGTTGAAATAAACATGTAGCTCAGTCGGTATGGTTAAATCGACTTCTAATGCATACCCAATATCCGATGTATCCGAAATGTGTGTAATTGTCTCTTGAATCCTATCCATCTCATCTCGTGTTAACCATGCAAAATTACCAGCTGGTAGGTACTGTTGCATCGTATAACCGTACAAATGTGTTGCATCAAGGTAAACTAAATACGATGATGCCTTTGACGGATCGTAATGTGGTAGAAATTTATTGTTCGCCTCAACTTTACGTGAGGTACATGTACTGACTCATATCAACATCTGTAAGCAGCTGTAACTCTACTTTGCTGTATCGTAGCATCGCATCCCAACTCAAACCGGGGGCCGTAAAATAGTGAGCTGGATCAAGCTTGTACGTTTTTAAGCACAAATCTCTGAAATTTTCAAAGATATCTGTTAAAAGAAGAACATCCGAAGTCAAGTAAAAATCAGAGTATTCCCCCAAATTTTGACACCCCATTACTTCCCAGACATGACGTGCTCGCTCATAATCCTCGTCAGAAATGTGTTCATCACGTATTTGATCCTAAAAGTCTTGTTGGGATGGTAAACATGTTTCATCGTATTTATCAAACCTATTAAGATATGTATATGGAAATATACCTTTGCATCTCATGTAGGAGAACTTTTCGTCCTCAGGAAAGACTTTTCGTACCGTCCGACATTGTTCTGCGCTTAAAAAGGATGCCAAGGTTTCTAATTTTGACGATAGAAACTGATATGAATCGACAAATCGCATCTGCAAAAATACAGTTTGTGATTTTCCCTCGTGGGAAATGTACGTGTCTACAGGTATCAATTTCGTAAATGAAACATATTTTTCAAAAGATTGTGGAATCACTTTAATTTGTTCTTGCTTCATAGCGAGGTGTTTTATGAATAGATGTGCATCATAGTTTTTTAGGTTGTGGAAAAGTATTGGAATGTATTTTGGGATCTTATAGTTTAGATTGCATTTGCTATGTGCTGCGCCACGATATTGCCCGGTGAAATGACAGTGATCCCTAACTTTTCTATTTGTATTGGTAAATGGATGTTCACAAATGAAACATACCTCTGCTTTATCAAACACATTTTTATCGTGCGCCGTCATTTTCATCGCTACATTTTGTTTTAAATATTGATCATATATTAATTTAAGATCAGCCTCTAAACGCGTAACAAAAATTTGTGCAGCATCCTCACCCCTATACAGTTCGAGCTTGGATAGTGAATCATTATAAGAACATTTAATATAATAAGCAACTGAGGAGGGTCTATGTTCATACTTTTTGATGGTACATACATCCTCTGAAGCACTTGAGTGATTGTTTATCGGAGCTAGGATGCATTCAAAGTCCGCATAAACGCAAAACGGTAGTCTTAATTGTTTGTGATGCTGTTCAAATTTCAGCACATTATCCATTACCGTGTTTCCAAGGCGATCAACTCTGGTTTCCAGTTGGGGCAGCTTAACTGAAATGTGTTTGCAATAGTTTTGGATGTGAATTTCCAGTTTGTCTTTTGATGCAAAGTATTGTAAACAGCCATCACAAAAATGCTTTACTCTCGTATTAAGTGACAACTGACTTGAAACGAGTCTTGAAAAGTTGGTAATTAAGCAGTAATGATGGTTACCTTCTGAATCATCAATAAGTAATAAGTTCAGATGAGTGGGTTGTTTTTGCGCCGTGTAATGTAACGGTCCTACCACCTGATATTTAGACTTTCCATCAATGAATTCCTTTTCTATTCCATAAACGTTAATTGACATATTATTCAATCTTTCAAATTCTGATATTGACTTGAGAGCAACTGGAAAGTCCATTCCTGCAAAGTTTAAACCAGGAATGTTCGAAAAATGTGGATATGACGTTGTTAGTGACGCTCGACCCTTTGGTTTTATCATACCAGCTACAATCGACCATGCAAAGCAGTACTCATCCGTGTTACGTATGTTGAGTACAGCTTTTTTGTTCGTGATTTCCTTAGGAAGCGGCAAATATGCTGCTGTCCTCAACGGATTATATTTATTAATATTAATTTCTAAATATAAAATGTTTTCCAACACCCACCCTGAGTCTTTTTCTGCAAAGTCTTTCGATTTTTGTTCGATTTTACTACCTAGATCATAATAGATTTGATTCAAATTTGAGGATTGTGTAATTATTACATTGTTCGTATTGTGGGACTTTACCTCTCGTCGGTTTTAGGTGGTAAAATATATAAACCACAAAGTTCCATATTTATTTTGAGTGTTGTATGCTTATGCAACTCATTTTCAATTACGTTTATGGAGTCCTGTGCCACATTATTCATATATTCAGTAACGTTCAAAGTCTCTATGCTAGCGGTTATTTGATAACTAACTATTCTACCTCGGAATGCACTTCGACATACTGACACATTATTTTGTAAAGCTCTCCATAGATGTGCCTTATGTTTAATGCTTTTCAGATGTGCCGCATGTGCATTCCTCGATACCTCACAGCTGCAACTCTCACAGCGAATTGTCCTGCTACCCGCACTCGCTTGTGAATCGTTGCCGGTGGTTGAACTCTCTCGACTTGCGCCCGGCACTACGACGTCGGATGGTGTAGGACTCATTCGACTGGTTCCAGGCACTGCGACGGGGGGTGTTGCAGGGTTCACTCGTCTAATGTTGACACCTGCGGCTGTCTGGGTGATGAAATCTGCAATAGTTGGCTCATTGTTAGTAATCTCACCCTCCATACGTTGTTGCTTGGAAGGTCTTTTCTCGCTTATGCAGACCTCTCTAAGATGTCGCAGTAAATTATGGCGTGCTGAGAAGGTATGCTGACATCGAAAACATTGCAACTTGTCTGCAGTGCGGCGCGAAGAGGATGCATTACTGTCCTCTAGACTTGGGGATTGGGGAATGCTGGAGGTACCACCTTCCTGGTTAAAGGATGCTGAAACAGATAATTCTGTTAGTGATTTTATTCGATTTTATTTTCTAATTGTTCAATACCTATTCCATCTCGAAGACAGATGCGCTTCGATGCTGGCTCACCATCTTGGCTGCACCGCTCTCTACCGTGCTTCAACAAATTTTTTCTCGCCGTGAAGGTCCTTTCGCACTTTAGACATTGGAACATCGTGAAGCGTGTACGTATTTACTCTGTTCCTGCAACAAAATCATTATATATATATATATATATATATATATATATATATTCGGCTGCGCTTAGCGTTATCCAGTGTGGCCACGGGGAGGCGGCAGCCACCACACCATCTTCTGGATCTGCTTATGTCGCATCTGAAACAAAAAAATATTTTAGCTGCTGTACGTTGTTTTGAACCCTTTGCATGTTTTTTTTTGTCACACCTCCACATGTCTACCGGTATGTAGTACCTTAACATCAGCAGATCCAGCGCCTCAATATGCACATTCTGTAGTTGATGCCCATTGCGAAACCAGTTCATCCCTCTTAACTTAACTGTCCCTTCACTGTCTAGCCCCCTCCTCATTCGCAGCCCGTTCGAGTTGCGTGAGCGGCAATTCTTCTATCCACGTATCCCGATTTAGTTCCATCGCGATCTGTTGAAGTTGTGCCAACGGTTCTCTCAACTCGACGTCGCGCGCACAGGCGGCCCGTTCAAGTTGCGTGAACGGCAAATCTTCAATCCACGTATCCCGATTGAGTTCCATCGCGATCTGTTGAAGTTGTGCCAACGGTTCTTTCAACTCGACGTCGCGCGCACACGCGGCCCGTTCAAGTTGCGTGAACGGCAAATCTTCGATCCACGTGTGGCGATATAGTTCCTCGTCCGCACCATACCGTTCACTCGCGACCGCGGCAGACATCAACGACTCTTGGGGTGTCGAAGTGGCTCTGGACGTGGACGGCCTCGACTCCGCTCCCAACAAACTCAGTTCCAATGATGGCCAAGCATTGTACGCATCCATCATTGTTGCACTGTCCAGGTCCGGATTGAGGGATGCTAACAATGCCTCAATGTTGATGTCGCCATCATCGTTCGACACATTTTGTTCGTCGGCGATAAAATTGTTAAGCATGGTTTGCGAGCCCATGCTAACAATTTCCACGGATACATCATTCGCCGAAGTACTAGGCATCGAAGCGCGAACGGTTTCAAGTGGTGGCACAACCTGAACATTTTGTAGTATACGTACAACTTGGGGCTTCAACAGTTTTTCTAGAATTGGGCGCTGACTTTCCAGGCGCACACAGACACTCTCTTGAGCACATTTTGGCAACCTAACACAGAAAACAATTTTATAATATACTATTTTACTGATGCGTCCAATATGGAGCGTTTAGACTGCAGTGACGGTGTGCACCATCGACACTGATATAAATACATGTCCCTCCTACCCACCTTTCACGACTTTCTACCTTCGCGATATCTACCATCTGCCTTTTAATTAACAGTCAAAATTTATTACCCCATAATCGTTTATGCTCGATTTTACATTTCACAACATCCCATAATTATAGTTTCGCGACCTCGATTTTCCACCATCTGGCAACGGAGGAGGGGAGCATCTATATCTATTCACTCTGGTCTCCTTTCCATTCCTTCGCGTCTCAGTCATCGTCATGGATGGTCGCGATCAAGATGATCTGTATGTCTTCCATGAAGATGGCTGGGCTAGTCCGCTCAGTTTTGACAGCACAGAATCCACATTGATTTTATTCAATGCGGAAGGTGTTGCACCCGATGTCGGTAATGCTCTGTTAGCAGACGTAGCCGACATCGAGTCTGACGAGGAAACTGAGGCTGAAGATGCGGAGGAGGCACCTTCGTCAGAGAGTGAGTCGGAAGGTGAATTGGAGATTGAAGATCTCCATAACAACCTTGCTCCTCTTGACGAACCACTCGAGGTTGACATTCCAGAAGCAGTTCGGATTGACAATCTCGTATGGGATCTCGATGATCCATCCACAGATTCAGGGTATACCAGTCCTTAATCATGGATGGATCGTTATGCATTTTAGTTTTAAGGAATTATGTCTAAGATTTTATTTGTAAGGTTGTAGGCTTTAAGGTTTCTGTGAAACATATAAATAGAAAATAAAAACACTAGAACCATTAACTATATATTCGTTAGCCGTAAGACCATAAACCCAAACCCAATAAAAGAGTTTACAACATCTATGCATTCTTATTATTATTACATTAATTTCATGTTCATAAACTTATTTTAAAAATTTTAAAATTTTCTTTAACGCGTCATTTACACCCACATCATTGTCTCTAATGACTTTATGCTTTTGTTGTATTATTGTTTATGTCTTCCAATTACTGATACCCTCGATTTCTATAAGTATTTTACAGAAATGGCTTAGTTAATGTTAGGGGTATAATACCCCTATATCTTTTTCCCTGGTGATATTACAAGAATTTGTTATTAGCATTTCCATCTCTATATTACCACTCCATTCCATTTCACTACATACTTTTATGAAATTATACCATCTAGGTTAGGGGTAATTCACCCTTATATCTGTTTTCCTGGTGATACTACAACGTTTTGTTATTAGCATTTATGTCTCTTTATAATCCCTGTAATCCATTTCACTACATACTGTTATGAAATTTTATCTTTCATGTTAGGGGTACTTCACCCCCTATATCTTCGTTACTACCCTCCCTACACAAAAACTTCATAAGAACAAATAGGTCCCTTGTACTAGCTGTCTTCATTCCCATACCTTTTTTTGTTATTATTTAAAAAAAAATTGTCAAAACTGATTCAAACTGCGCGGACACCAACAAATTTTTAATTCGACATAGGCCCTCACCCTCCCCCCTACTCCAGCGGCCAGCGCCCAACCTCCCCCCCTCCCCCCCTTCCTTCGATAGTGATTACCCCCCATTTGACCTCAAAAATACCCTTATCTCAATTTCATCCCCCGGGGGTGAATATTTCTTTATTTTTTTTTCTCTCTTATTATTACTCCTAAAATTTTTCTGTTGACGCCTAAATTCATCAAAAAATTCAAACTTTTAGATATATCTATTACGTGTCTTATTCTATGAGTACTTACACCCCTACAATTTTTTTTCCTTTTTTTGCTTTTTTTTGTAAACTTTTCTATTTAACATTTTCACTATTATAAAGACATTCTACTACGACATACTTTTAACGACTTAAACATCTCAACCCCTATACTTAATTTTTTACTACCCCTCTCATCCCCCGAGCTCACTACTCTTCTATAATTATGTTTTTATATCTCTTCACGATACCAGTACTTGTTCCCATTAAATTTAATACCTCACTTGACTATATCCGTATACTTCCTTCTACTATCGGGGGCTGCTACCCCTTTACAAAAATCTTTAATATCTCCGTTGTTTGGTTACCGATCAATTTCAAACTTTTACCAAACTGTGCTTTGATTTTTTTTACAACTTTTTTTCACCCCTTTCTAGGGGTTGTCACCCCCAATTGCTTTAATTTACATTTATCACTATATTTTTTATTTTTTCACTGATTTTTGAAATTTTTCAAACTACCTGTCTTGTATTTGCATCCCTACACTCAGTATCTTCACTTACCTTATCACACCGCCTGTTTTTCCCTATGACTTCGACACCTTCCTTCTTCGGCAACTATATAGCTGCTTCGCTCCCAACGGACTGTTGTCACACTGACGTACACTGCTCGATGCTATTCTTCTTTCACAATACAAGCACTTTGCTAGGTGCTTACTATGTATGTGCATCTTATTAACATATCCATCATCGTAGATACTAAATAGGGCATACTTTGCTCCTATGATGTACCTTTCACATACTATGGAGCCCATCATGCTCGTACCAATGTAGTAATACTGCTGACAACGTTCTTCGCTCCATTCTACACCCCTCGCATAGCTTTCTTGACACACGCTCCATTCTACATATGCATTTCTCACACTTCCTTCATAACTCAATCCGTATGGATAGCGCACTCTATATCCATCTTGCAGTTCACTCCATTTAATTAGAAATCCATTCCCTCCTGACATCACCCCACTGGCTAGTCCTCCTCGTACTCCTACGTTTTCCAAATCTTATGGGGAGTCTAACAAAGACCACATACACTTCTCGTCCTTCTCATTCGTATTGTAAATCCAGCCTATCTTATGGGGACGATGTTGCAAACACGTCCCAAAATAAACCAGAAATATGCTGCAACAGCACCACCCACACGCCCAGCGCCACCCCTTAGAGTACTTCAACCGTTTCTCCGTTTGACACACTAAGCACCGACTTTTCTTCACTATATTTACCATGCTATTGCAATGCTTGCAACAACTGAACTGCCTCCTCTCCGAGCGCTGCACTAATTTAAACACCTATTTCCAAGGTCATACCTTCTACCACTCACGACTTCAAGGTCACATTTCAAGGTCATATTTCAAGGTTATATTTCAAGCCCATATTTCGATTCAAGGTCACATTTCAAGGCTATATTTCAAGGTTGCATTTCAAGGTCATATTTCAAGGCCATGTTTCAAGGTTACATTTCAAGGTCACATTTCGAGATTAAATATGCGTTCAAGGTTGGCTCCCAAGGTCGACTCTCAAGGGCGTTCTAGAACAGACAAACCCTACCTACTGATGATGTATCCGTGAATTGTGATGCAACAGGACAGACTTCCATTTTGTCACACGTTTCACTGATTCTTTTTCGCGTGTTGATTTCCTTGTCACTTTCAGTAATAAGTTCTACAATTGCTTCAGGATCAGTGTTTGTCACTTCGCATATATTATCATACTCCGTATCGTCTGAAGGTAGTGTCAGGATATTACCGAGGCTTTTCTCAATATCGTCGTTTGATGATGGCTGTGTGCCTGACTATGTTCGTTTTCGTTTATCTGACTGTCAATCTCACTAACTGATAAGGGAATATCATTGTAGGCTCTGATTTGCTCAAGAGTTGATGTTTGTGATTTGGCAGTGTTATGTTCAGGTGAAGTAGAGATTGTACCCAAAAATATATAAGCTGAGAAAAAAAATATCTTGGATAAACTTCTATATCTCAGCAACTAGGAACGTTTTACTAAAACACATTTGGTTCAATATCATTATTTTCACGAGTTGGAGCACCCTGGATACGAACACATTAATAAAAAAATA